GCCACAACGCCCGGCTATTTTTTGGTTGCAGCCGTCATTGTTGTTTGGCGGGTCCGGGCTGGGGACTCAAACCCGCCACCCTAGGTGTACGTGGCTGGCGCCTTAGCCGGTTGAGCTATAGGCGCCGAGCCTATATCTGAGTTTTGAACCAAGCAGCTGGCATTGGCCATTCAAAGGATTAAATGTCAAAATAAATATAAAACATTTGGCATAGGACCTAAAAGCCCCCACGTTAAGGCCAGGCACAGTGGTTCACGCCTATAATCTTAGCACTCTGGGAAGCCGAGGCAGATGGATTGCTTGAGTTCACGAGTTCAAAACCAATCTGAGCAAAAGTGAGACCCCTGTCTCTACTAAAAATAGAAAAACTGAGGCAAGAGGGTCACTTGAGCCAAATAGTTGGGGGTTGCTGTAAACTATGACATCATGGCACTCTACTAGAGCGACAGCTTGAGACTCTGTCTCAAAACCAAATAAACACATAAATAAAAATAAAAGCCCCCACTTTAGAGTCAGCCAGACCTGAGTTCCAGTGTCTGTTCCTCCCCTCATGAGACCCTGGGCAAAGTACGCTCCAACTTTGAGCCTCAGCCTCCCTATCTGTGAGATAGACTAGGATCAGTGCCTCTCTCGGTGCTTTGCCAGGGAACCCATGCAATGAGATGGCACATGAATGCCCTTGGCCGCTGTGCATTTGCCTGGCACACAGGAAAAGCTCAAGAAATCATGCAGTATCTGGGGCCACAATGCAGCTCCTGCTCTCAATGTCAGAGCAGGAGCCACTTGTTTTTAGAGGAAAGGCTACACTCTGTTATCCAGGCTAGAATGCAGTGGTATCATCACAGCTCACTACAAGCTCCACCTCAAACTCCTGGGTTCAAGTAATCCTTGTGCCTCAGTCTCTCTAAAGCTAAGACTGTAGGCATGTGCCACCACACTCAGCTAATTTTTCTATTTTTTTTAGAAATAGGGTCTGGCTATGTTGCCCAGGCTGGTCTCAAACTCCTGGCCTCAAGTGATCCTCCCACCTCAGTCTCCCAAAGTGCTGGAATTACAAGCGTGAGCCACTTTTAAACATTGCCAGAGGGCAGTAGGATGGGTTGGACAACAGAGCCTTGATTTGGGGCTTATACAGACCTCAGATCAAACCCCAACTCTGCCACCTCCCAGCCTCAATCTTTTCATCTAGAGACTAGAGACAGATAATAAAGCTGACCCTGAAGAGCTGCAGCAGCCTTGGTGAGAAAAGAGATAAAAAGCACCAAACCTGGACCTGGCCCACAGTGGGTGCTCAAAATCAAATATGTGTGATGGCATCCGGTGCCTCTGCACATAGTAGGTGCATTAAAAAAAAAAAACTAGGCTCGGCGCCTATAGCTCAACCGGCTAAGGCGCCAGCCACATACACCTAAGGTGGCGGGTTCGAATCCCCAGCCCGGACCCGCCAAAACAACGACGGCTGCAACCAAAAAATTGCCGGGCGTTGTGGCGGGCGCCTGTGGTCCCAGCTACTTGGGAGGCTGAGGCAAGAGACTCGCTTGAGCCCAGGAGTTGGAGGTTGCTGTGAGCTGTAATGCCACGGCACTCTACCCAGGCGGACAGCTTGAGGCTCTGTCTCAAAAAAAAAAAAACTATTCACTCCTTTCTTGAAGGAGTGAATTTGCCTAAAGCAAAATACTCTTAACAAGGTGAGTTTGGTAATGAGCCTTGGCCTCCCAAATGTAGAGACCTTTATTGTGTTGGCAAATATTTTGCCTGGACAGAAAAATGGTCTCCCTGGAGGGAAGTTTCCATGGAAGCTTCTTCCCCTCCCCTTCCTAAACAGACAGACCCTGTTTGCCTTTTGGCTCTCTTCTGCTCCGCACAAGCCTCCCTGACTCCACTGACCTTCAGCTTCTATGCTTCCCCCACCCTTTTAAATTCTACAGGTTCTAATCCAAATCCACAACCTGAGCCCCTCTCCCTTCCATTCAACAAGCTCACCTTCAACATCCAGTCTTTTCTCCTTCCTCTAAAACCCCAAAGGTTAAGAAAACACCCACGAAGCTTTGAGGATCTTGTGAGGCTTACCAGGCAGACACAGACGGTGCAGTTCTCATTGGGAGGTGAAAACACGTCCCCCTCAGCTCGGACAACGCCACTGTGAAAACAGCCTTGAAAGACAAACAGGAGATGGTGGCATCAGACCTCTTCAAAGAAGAGGAAACTTGAGGTCTCACTGCTTTTCCAGGCATAATGTAACTGGAACCTTCCCTCACTGCCCTGGTTGCCCAGGAGCAGCAGATCCAAGTACCCTAACTGTGTGGTCCTACAACCCCAGAACTACCCAGGAGACATCTGCAGGGATCATCCCAGGGTCCATTCATGTCTGATAAACTCACAGCTGTCTAGAGAGCACCACATTTCATTCCCAGGAGGAAGGAAAAGCAGCCTGGGTTCAAAACCTGGTCTGCCAGATCGGTTTAGCTGAGTGGCCTTGGAGGTGCCATTAACCTCTCTAGAACTCAGTTGTCTTCACTGCAAAATGGAAATACCAGCATATATCCAGCAGGGGACTTAGAGATCGGAAACTTCAGATCTAAAGTACCCAGTAATTTAGATTCAAGGCTCAGTGACTCTCAAAGCACAGTGAGTAAATGATCACAATTATCCTTAAGAAAATCATAAAGGCTTGGTGCCTGTAGCTCAAGTGGCTAAGGCACCAGCCACATACACCAGAGCTGATGGGTTCAAATCCAGCCTGGGCCTGCCAAACAACAATGGTAACTATAACCAAAAAATAGCCAGGTGTTGTGGCGGGCACCTGTAGTCCCAGCTACTTGGGAAGTTGAGGCAACAGAATCACTTAAGCCCAGGAGTTGGAGGTTGCTATGAGCTGTGACACCACGGCATTCTACCCAGGACAACAGCTTGAAGCTCTGTCTCAAAAAAAGAAAAAAAGAAAGAAAGAAAGAAAATCATAAAGCCAGGCCTAGTGGCTCACTCCTGTAAACCTAGCACCCGAAGTGTGTGGATTGCTTGAGCTTATGAGTTCAAGACCAGCCTGAACCAGAATAAGACGCTGTCTCTAAACATAGCCAGGTGTTGTGGTGGACGACAGAGTGAGACTCTATTTCAAAACAAAAAGAAAAAAAATCACCAAGTGCATTTCCATTTTAACCATTAGGAAGAATTTTTAACTGCTGCTCAATGTCCAGCAACCTCAGCATCTTAACACCAAATGCAACAGAGAAATGGAGATTCTCAGACCTATTCCCAGGCCTTCAGAATGAAAATCTGCATTTCAATAAGAGCCTCAGGGATTCATATATAGAGCAAGTTTCCAGTAGTCTGTAAGGATCTGTTAAAATTTGGGTCTCTATCTTCATAGCAATGAGAAGCAAATGAAAAGCTATTAACAGAGCCTGGAGTGGGGGGTATCGGGCAGAATTTATAAATGATTCTTCCTGGAGGAGGGGAATTGGGAGAAGGGAGAAGGATTGCAGAATGGGTTTGGAGAGGCTCATTGAATGAATGAATAAAAGGAAGAATGAATGAAGCTCAAAAAAGATGCCCAGAAGATGAAAAGCTCCCCGTAAGGGATATTACAGCAGAGACAAGTGGTTCTCCAAGTGTGGTCTTCAGACCAGCACATCAGAATCACCTGGGAACTTACTAGAAAAGCATATATTCATGCCTTAGTTCAGATCTGCTCAATTAGAAACTCCAGGGGCAGAGACCAGGGATCTATGGTTTAATAAGCCCTCCAGGTGATTCTAATGCACACTAAAGTTGGAGAACAGCCTTTGGGCTGCAGGAGGGCTAAGGGAAGGGAAGAGGCAAGACTGTGTCTTCCCTGGCACAGGCTCTCACCTGTACATGAGGGGCAGCACCCCCCATCTTTGGAGGGAATCGGGTGGGAACAAGCGGCTTCACACCTCACCTTTTCACAGGTCACCTCTCCGTCCTAGAAGCACAAGCAGGAGTTATAGCTACCATAACTCTTACGTCTGTAAGGCCCCAGATGCCAGAACAGGGCAGCTATAGAAACACCTCACACCCACCTCACACCAGCACTGGGAACACCCAGGCTCAGTCCAGCGGCTCCCTGATTTATATATGGCTCCCAGGTGCCAACAGGGAGAAGGCCTTGTTGCTAGTCGTGGGACCTCAGGGCCCCTCGGTGAGGAAGGGGTCCCCAACCCCTCCCCCTGGAGGAGTGAGGGAGGCCTGAGCGTTCTCAGCAGGGAGGCAGTAGGCACTGGGGTAGCCATCGGAGTGGAGAGCACCCTCGTAGGGTCAGAATGGGAGGACATGGGTAGTGGTGGGGTGGGAGATGGCAGGTGGGTGGTCTTGACTCCTGCTGGAGGCCCTGGAGCCCCAGAAGGAGGGCTGTGTCCTGGGGACAGGGCAGGCCGGCCTGCCTCCGGAAGCAGGAGGAGCATCTTGGGAGGGTGTTGCCGGGGCTGCAAGATGGCAGATGGGGCCAGCACAGCCTTTGGGAAAGCTGAAACAGAAGCACAAAAATCTCTTGAGGGGGGAAGCAGGGGCAGAGGTAGGGTTCAGGGGACCTGAACTTGGCACAACCAGCACAAGTCACTGAGTGTCTCTGGGCCAGGTTCTTCATCAATATAATGGGTCTAACTGCTGGGGTACAATCCCTAGAGAAGATGGATGGAAAAGCACCAATGAACCGGAGGAGGTTACACCTGGCGGCTTCAGATACAGCACAATCATATTCTTCTGTTTCCCTTCCTCACCTGCCACAAGAGAGTTGCCAATGTTCCAGGTGGACCTCTAACACTTCAGAGATCCATCCAGGGAATAACCTGCCCCCACTCCTATGTCCTGACAGGTCCAAGTGTGTCTCCTCCTCCCACCCAGCTGTGGCTCCCCTGGCGGGCATGCCGAGGCTTGGGGTGGAGGGACAGTCCAGGCTGGTGCAGACAGGCCCTGCCCCAACACACATATACATACTTAGGACCAGGAGAAAGGTCTTTTCCTCTGCAGATGGACACCCACTACCCAAGGGTCTGAAAGAAGGAGAGAGAGAATCAGAAAAACTAAGAGAGAGAAGGTGGCAGGTGAGGGAGAAGAGAAGGGAGAGATTCAAGATCCCAGGGAGAAAGGGGCCGGGGTAGGAAATGAACAGGTGAGCTCAGTGACTAACGGGAACCAGTGCCATGGACTAAAGGGAAGGAGGTAGTTTTCTCGGCACAGGCATGGAAAGACCTCCATGGCCCCTGAGAAGTGAAAAGTGGAGCCTTCTGGCAGAACAGCCTCCATCACGTGAACAACATTATGCACATGTTTAGGGCCCTGCTGGAGGACCAGAACCGCCCAACACTGCCCTGTCCCTGGGAGCCCTTATCACTCTTAACACTGCTGGTTTCTTTCCTTTTACCATTTGGGGGAAAACAGAGGGCTGGGAAAACAGTGAGGAAAACAAAGGAAGAGCAGATACATAAGTGAAAAGAGAAAACGAGGAAGGTGAGATGTTGAAAATAAAATGAACAGAAAACAAGACTGGGCAGGGTAAGAAATGGGCCCCCAAGAGGGCGGGGCCTATCACCAAGGGCAGGGATGCGCTCTGAAGGCGGGGCCCGGTGCTGTAGGAGGGGCCTGGTGCTGGGGCGGGGCCTAGCACCTAGGGCGGGGCTCCGGGGTCGGGCCCAGTGCTAGGGATGCGGCTGGTCTTCAAGAGGGCGAAGCGCCTCTCTCACCTTCACAGGAGACGCGGTCAGCTCTGAGCCTGAAGCCAGGTCTACATGTGCACAGGAAGCTGCCCACGGTGTTATGGCAGGAATGGTGACAGACTCGCCTCTCCAGTGGTCTCCGACACTCGTTTACATCTGCAGAAGAGCGCCGGTACGGACCGCTGCCTTGTCCAGGCTACTGAGCCCTTCTTACTCCCAAAAAACTGGGCGTCTCCTTGCCAGGTTCTTAGAGGTCCATCCCTGCCCCAGGGTGCGGGATGTGGATCAGACGCTGGAAGCAGGGCTGAAATCTAGGCTAGTCTCCTTGGAAGGTTTACACATACTACAGGCATTGAATGGGTATATATATATATATATATATCAGTGACTCATCCCCAACACTAGGCAGCAGAGATTAAGTGCTACCTGGCGGGTCTCAGCCTTGCTGGGAATCTCTTCACCAAACCTTCTACTCTCCAGTTTTTCTTTCTGAAAAAGTCTTAAAACTCACTGAGCTGCTCAAGATAGACTTCAGGACTAAAACCTAAATCCACTAGAACAAGGTCTTTTTTCAGGCCCATGGGACCCCACCTTCAACCCATGAGCCAAGCTTATGGCCAAACATGCCAATCCCTTTCTGGAAATTTCTGCTAATGGGATGGAAAAACAGGGGTCTCCTTCTAAACCAGAGGAACCAAGACATAACGTGCTTTATTTACCAAGGGGAGCAAAGGCAGCCAAGAAAATGGGTGAGCAGAGAGGAATCCTTGGGGTGTATCTGGGAGAGGAGCGGAAGAGAAACATAACAGGATGAAGCTGGCATGTGGCCAGGAAAAGTCCAAGACAGGATCTTCTGTGTGGCACTATGCCAACCCCAGAGACAGGCAGGCTCCAAGCAAAGGCTCAAGCCCCTTCAGACTCCAGAGTGCCAGGAGGTCCAACTGCTGACCTTCCTAGGTCCCTGGGCTCTCCTGTCCATCTTCCTGAGTGGCACAGGGTCCTCCCAGCCTTACCTACACAGGAATGCCGGTTGCCGTGGAGGTGGAAGCCAGTTCGACAGGAACACTTGTAGCTGCCGATGCTATTTTTACATCTCTGCTGACAAGGGGTTCCTAGGCATTCATCAGTGTCTGGAAGGGAAAAGGCCAGGGCTGGTGTTCATTTCACCACAGAGCTTTGGAAATATGTGGTCCCCTCTTCCTCTCTCATCACAATCTCCTACCCTACTCAGGATAGACTACCTTAATTCCATCTCTTCCTCACCACCCACATGGGTCTACCAATTCCTACAGATGCCTTGGATCAGCTCACTCCTCCCCCTCCTTCATCTTGTCAAGCCTCCCAAAGGCCACAGGACTTATCCTAGAATAAGGCACCAAAGCTGTACCATCTCACACAGCCCTTCCCAGCCACCCACCTTCACTCTGGCCTAAATTCTTGCCATCTTCCAAACACACCACACTCTTTCAGGCCTCTCCCTTTTTCCATGTTCTCCTGTCTGCCTTTTCTACTTATCTGGCTGGAAAACTACGTATACCTCAAAACTCAGCTGTGATAGCACCTCCTCTGTAAAACCTTCACCATGCTGTTGTTTGAAATTGTGAAAAAATGGAAATGATCTCCATGTTCATCAATAAGAGTTTGTAAACTATGGACCAGAATCAGCAGTGAAAAGCAACAAGGCAGATGTGGAAAGATCCTCAACACCAATTCTTGAAGGGAGGAAAAAACAAGCAGAGGAATGACTGGGTTCAAATCTTAGCTCTCACATGATCTTGGGCAAGTAATTTCATTTCCTTATCCTTGGTGTTCCTATCAATAATATGAAGATAAACAGACCAACTTCATAGGATAATTCTGAGGATAAAATGAGAAAATGTAAACTTCTTAGCCTGGTAGCTGGGACATAAAGTTCAGCACCTATCATATCTCTATAAGTTCCTATGTATGTACACATCATGGGGATAGGCAGTCATAAAACACATCAGATTGATAATGGGGGGCTACGGAGTAGTGTCACCCCTAAATTCATGTGAAGCCTTAACATCCAGTGTGATATTATTTGGAGGTAGAGTCTTTGGAAGATGATAGATTTAGATTCAGTCATGAGGGTGGAGCCCTCATGATAGAATTAGAGCCCTTACTAGAAGAGTCAGGGTACATTCTCTCTCTCTCTCTCTCTCTCCCTATCCCCTTCTCTCCATCACATGAGGACACAGCAAGAAGACTGCCTTCTGCAAGCCAGGAAGAGAGCCCTCACCAGAAAATGAATTGGTCAGCACCTCACTCTTGGGCTTTCCAGCCTCTAGAAATTTGAGAATAAATGTCTTTTGTGTACATGAAACTTAGCCTGTAGAATTTCATTATGGCAGCCCATGCAGACACCAGGGTTATTCTCTAGGGAGAGCAGAGGGTGACGGTGGAAGAGAGGGCCTGGGGCTAACACCATGACTTTTAAAACTTCTTTTATAGGTTGGGCATCTGTAGCTTAGTGAGTAGGGTGCCAGCCACATACACCAAGGGTGGCGGGTTTGAACCTGGCCCAGGCCTGCTAAAACAACAATGACAACTGCAACCAAAAAATAGCTGGGCATTGTGGTGGGCGCAAGTAGTCCCAGCTACTCAGGAGGCTGAGGCAAGAGAATCACTTAAGCCCAAGAGTTTGAGGTTGCTGTGAGCTGTGATGTCATTACACTCTACCAAGGGTGACACAATGAGACTCAAAAAAAAAAATTTTTTTCTTTTATAATTTGTGGGAAAAAAATTATAATTTTTTTAATTCTTTTTTAATTCTTTTATAATTCTTTTAATTTTTATTACTCAAAAAAGCTTCATTTTCTTGTTTAGCTTTCTGATTCTGTGCTTATGCCTTCAACACTTTCCCAATGATTTTCCTTAATAAAGAAAGCATGCTTGATCCTGTCATAAACACATTTAGCACACATGGAACCACCCTAGGCCCTGCTGACATATTTTTTTTGTCGTTGTTTTAGACAATCCCATAAGAACTTTAGGTCTCACAGCACGAACCCTTCAAAGTCTTTCTGGGCACATGCTACATACAGATTTTGGTACTTTCCCAACCCCCTTGGTATAAAGGTAAACAATTCTATTGCCAGGAGTTTGAGACAGCCCAGTTTTGTTAGAGGCTGTATTGCAGAAAAGCCTACAACCGTATGTCAAACTCTGGGTGTTTGGCACCCATGGGTGCCTTTAGACAGCGTCCCTGGAACAGCAATTTGGGAAAATTTTAAACAGAGAAAATAATAGCACAGTATCAAAGGGGGAGCTTTTATCTTAACTGCCTTGTTTAAGTGAGAAGGTTTCTTACATAACTTGTATATATAAAAATCATTTTGAAAGAATGAGTGATTATTATAAAAGATCTCTCCTGCTGGTTTAGGAGGAAAGTTTCCTTCTCTTCCCACAGCACTTATCGCTTGTCCCCATCTTGCTCCTCCCCTCCCCACCAAACTGTGGAAGATCCTACTCCTCTGGTGGCTACAGGACCTGGGCCTGCACAGGGCAGGTGGAACCAACGAATGAGAGAATGAATGACTCCAGCCCAGCGTGCCCCTCCCACAGCCCTTCTGGACATGCTCACAGCCCTGCAACCCCTTCATCTCAGTGGCCTCCTTCCCCAGGATGGTGGAACCCACCCCTCCCAGAGGCCTGTCCTCCAGTCCTCTACCCTACAATAGCAGCAGCAGGTTCTAGCTCTCAGACCTCTTACTGATGGAATGGTCTCCTCATCAGTCAAATGAGGATGGTAAGAGCATCTCTCTCAGATCTTGGGGAAAGTTAAATGATGCATAGATGTGTGGAGAGCACACCATGCTCGGCCCAGCAGGACCAAGTGTTCAACAGGGCATCACTGTCACCCCTCCCAGAGCGGCCGTCCCTTCACTGCAGGCTCACCTTGGCAGCTGTGGCGGTCGGCAGACAGCTGCATGCCTGGCCCACACTCACACACAAACCCGCCTTCTGTGTTCACGCAGTGGCCCTCGCAAGAGGAGCTTAAACATTCATCAATGTCTGAGAAGAGAGAAAACACCCTTGCACGACCCACTGTGAACATGACTGTGACTCAGGGAACAAACTGACCCCACGAGGACTCTGTGCCCACACCAAGGAGTCTGTACTCAGCATCATTGAACCCCCAACCTCAGCATCGTGGAACCCCCCAACCGAACCTCCAGAAAAGCCACCGGTGAGGAAGGAAACCCAAGAAAGAAAAGACCACAAAACCAGGCCCCCCCTTTGATGCATGCAGATCAGCTGATGAGAGCAGAGAGCTGAGACAGGACTGTTTCCAGCGGCCCCACCTGCAGGGCAACTTCACAGGGCTCCTCAAAAGGGCAGAGAGCAGTGGGCAGGAAGCCTGATCAAATTATGAACAGCACCATTCCCTTAAATGTTCACTGAGCACCATCTGTGTGCAGCAGACCCAGAGAGGGACCGCTGAGGATACAAATGTGACAAAGACACAGTACTGACTCTCCAGATGTTTACAGTCAGATAACATAGGAGCCAAAACACACACCCAGGCGGGCTAGTACAGGCCAGTGATAAATGCCCCACCCGGGAACAGCTGGCCACAGCAAGTGTGCCCTGGAGGCAACATGGGCTAAGAAAGGCCACTGGAATAGAGAATGGGCTTGAGAGTCTTCCTGGCAGCAGCTGTGCTCTGTGGGGACTGCACTGTATATCTAGAGAGGCAGCTTAAGACCAGGTAGCTGAGCACAAAGGAGTTCCCTGAGGCCACTGACTGGGTGGGATAGCTGGATCCATGCCTAAGTGCTTAGCTGGTGAGCTTGGTGAGATGCTCTGGCTCCAAGGGTGAGACAGCTAGGAATGGAACTCCCCAAATCCCAGTGCAAGGCATCTCTGCCCCTACGGCAGCTCCTGAGGCCCTACAGGATTAGCCTACTCTTGTCTGCACCCGAGTCTCCCCACCATCTGGCCCACTCTCCTTACCCACTACTCAGCCTTCTCCCTGGCATCTCCTTGCTCTTCCCACTGGCAGGCCCTTTCAAGATCATGCCCACCACCTCTAAGAAGCCCACCCCAACTAACCCCATCCTGCTGCGATTCATCATGGCTGCAGCCAGTGCCACTCTGTCCTGCACCCTGTGCTTTGATTTTGTTCCCTGGTTGTTCCTTGGCCCCAGTTTGTCTCAACAAAGGGAAGTATGTATGGAAAGTACCCCATGATGAAAGATAAAAGGCATTTCGGGGCAGAATCAATTGCTCAATTGCTTCTCCTTTCTGGAGGAGATGGTGCAACAAGCAATGAGTTCCAAGACTCCTTTAGTAAGACCCTCTGACCCAATAGTTCTCCTCTGGGAAATAATCAGAGCAGCAGACAAGAAGCCTCTTTATTGCATCATTATATATAGTAGTGAAACACTGCAGACCGCCTAAATGAGGGATACAGAGTAGTATTTCAGTAACAGCAGCCAAGTATACAGCTGTTAAAAATTACGCTGCAAAGAATATTTAGTGATACTCACAATATAAAGATTAATGGGAAAAATAATCAACAAAAACTATACATAAAGTATAATCGCAGTTCTATAAAACATATATTTGCTTGCCTAATATACATATACACACGTACACATACGAACACATACACACTTAGGTGAAAGGGCGGGAAAAAAAACTTCATTTTAGTAACAAATGTCTCCAGGTAGAGACTTCCAGGGGGTGTTTATTTTCACTTTCTTCTTTTATCCTCAATGTCCTAAAATGAATCATCTCTTACTTTTCTATTAAGGGGGAAAACATTATTTTTTACAAAGTGAAAACTCCAGAAAGGCTTTTTCTGCTCTGGCAAGATTGGCAAGAAACTAGTTACAGTAGCTGTGTGCAGGGAAGGCAACAGACCTTATTTTAATTACAAATAATAGTTTTACAAACTAATTAGTGAGTTTAGCTTTCTGCGGCTTTCACATGCCACTTTCCCAAGGAGCCTTCCCTTGCCAACCATCCCCCAACTCTAGTTTCTGAGCCTCTGTCCTAGTTTAAGTACCATTACATTGAGCTGTCCCATTACTTGTCTCCCTTCCCCATATTCAGAAGTTCCATAACAACAGGGACTAACTATGGCTCCAGTAACCCCAGCCCCTACTTCCCCATTCCTGCCCACAGAGGTGCTCATCAATATTTGAGAAGTACCAAAAGAGATGCATTTCTTTTGTTTGCAGGCCTCCCTGCCCACTCTCAATGTCAGAGCTTGTCCTGGCTCAGAGTGGCGCTTGAAACTCTCTGGAGACCATCCTAGCAGAACAGGGAAAACACATAATTCCGGCCTTCCCCCTCCCCTACAGGTCCCAGGCCTCTCACCTGTACACCTGATGCCAACAGCTGTCTCTGTCATCGAGAAGCCCACAGGGCACACCCGGGCCACCTCTTGACAGCCACCATGGTTACAGGTAAGGTCACAGCCATACTCCCCACACGGTCCGTGGGCCTCTAAGACAGGCATCGCACTGGTGAGCACATACCACGGCAGGGCAGCCCCAGTCACCCCCACCTCACCAGGATGATTTCTGCTGGGAAGGTGGCTCTGGAGACAAATAGGGGTGAGTTTAAATCCAGCTCTGCCACTTACTAGCAATGCGACCTAGCAAGACAGCAATTTCTCTGTCTTAGTTTCCTCCTCTATCAAATAGGAATACAGTATCTACCTAATAGAGTTCTGTGTAGGTGATATTCTGGAATGCATCTCAATTGCCTGGTGCCTAGCACATAACCTCAGTGTTCATTCAGCCCTTCCCACCTTCCCATTGGCCACTGCCCATCCCCATTACCTGGACAGGTGGCCCCTTGCTCTCCATCCTGGCAGGAGCAGACATTGGGAGCGATGCAGATGCCACTCCCACAGCCAAAGGAGCAGAGAGCTAAGAGGAGAAACGCAGGTGGGGCACTAGGCCCTGGGGCCCCCAAGCTGCCCCTTAGACTAGGGACTGAGTGCTGGCAATGTACATTGCTGGTGGAAAGGGCTTGGGGCACAGGGACAAGCACTTACGCAGGGTACAGTGCCCACTGCCCATGGAGGGCACCCAGCCAGGGCAGCAGCCACTCCCGAACCCAGAGAGGCAGACGTGGGGGCCCAGCCGGCGTCTGCAAGAGAGAAGAAAGAATTTCCCACATGCGGTGTCTAGGGAGGGATTGACCAACAGGAAAGCTTCCTAGCCAGTCTATAAGTCAATCAACAAACAGTTCTCAAGACCTCCCTGGAGAGACAATAGGAAGTTTCCAAAGAGAAAATGACCCAGACAGTCTCTCCTAGAGGGAGGACAGACAAAAGTGTGAGAGAACAGATAGCAGTAAACAGAAAACAGATAGTAAAGATGGCCAGGAAGAGGGAACTCCGGGCTGAGGAAAGGCTCTATGATGAAAGAAGAGCCTGGGGGTGGCTGCCTCAGGACCTTTGCACCTGGAGTTCTCCCTATCACGAAGGTTCTTCCTCAGACACTCACTCAGCTCACTCTCTCCCTTCCCCCAATCTCTCCCCACAGTACCTTCTCAGAGAGGCCCTCTTGTCTGCCTCTCCCTTGCTTTATGTTTCTCCACATCCCACTTCCTGAGATGTTAAAGTATTAATTAATTTGTTGATTTGTTGTCTGTCTCCCCTACAACTCCCCAAAGACAAGCACTTCTTATCTGTTCACCACAGCACTGCGTGGCACATAGTAAGTGCTCAATAAATGACTGTTGAGAAAATGGCTGAGAAGAGAAGCCAGAAGGAAGGAAGAGCAAGGGCCCCCCACAGGCACTGACACAGGTCACATCTCTGGGCTTAGCATGGGAGCAACAGTGAGCTGCCCACAACTGGAGAAGGCAAGAGAGTTCACTGAACCAGGAATATAGTCCAGAGTTGGCAGGGAAGGGGAATCCAGAGTCCAAAAAGGGCAGAAAGCCAGGAACATCCAACCATACACTGGATGCTGGATGAGGTGTGGCCATATTGGCATCAACAAGGGGCCATCCCCACCTTTGAGGGATGCTGGGCAGACCAGGAACCACGTGATTGACAATAGGGCACGACAAGTTCCACATTGGGATGGGCTATGCAGCCCTGAGGGGGTGGGAGGGGTGGGCCAGAAGACTGAGGAGCAATCAGGAGGAGCAGCCAGATCACAGGCCTATAGGGGAACAGAGATGACAATTGCAACCAGCTCCAGTAATGACCTGGACAAAGGGTGATGAAGTGCACCCAGGTTTGAATTGGGAATTCCAGTGCAACAGAAAACCCTTCGCTTGCACGCTTCTCCGGCTCAGAGGCTGAGGGAACACTACCTTGGCAGTCAGGCGTTACAGAGCACCCACTGTGTACCCAGCACTGCACCAGGTACTGGGGATCCGGGATAAGACAGATTTATTCTGTTCTCAGAAAGAATAATCAATGTAAAATAGGACAAGTATTCTGGAAAGGGAAGCTCAGGGCACTATGGCAGTTTAGAAGTCTGTGGACATCTGTGGGGCCTCAAAGAGCCTTTTCCTCCACTGAAGTCATCACAGTAGAAGAGGGGGCACTGCGGGATGGGGAGAGCTGACTGAAGTCTCAGCGCACTTGCTGGAGCGATTATGGCACATCCTGGGAGGGAGGGGCCGGGCAACTCCTACTCTTCAGACTGGCCTAAGGAGCTGAGCCTGGGGGGCTAGGAAATCGACAGGCAGTGCCACCCAAGCCAGGCAGTGCCACCCAAGCGTCAGATGAAAGGATGCCCGGGAGGCTCGTGCAGTCCAACGCTCTGGTGGGCAGGGGCCCAGAGGCTGCCAGATCGCCCCAAAGAACCTCCCAGGGTCGGTGGTGACCCGGAGACAGGTGGCAGGAGGCCGTGAAGGCTGCGGCGTGGAGGCCGGATCCCAGCAAGAACTGGCGTTGGCTGCGGAACACAAGTGTAAGGAGCTGGGACGCCCCGTTGCGCGCCCCCCGGAGAACGCGGCCCCGAGCCAGGCCGCCCGCTGACACAGTGTTCCTTCGTTCTGAGCATCACGCACACACGCACACGACCCCGCAGCGCCGGGCCTCCACCACAGAACAAACATGTGGGGAGGTCGGCATCCACCAGGAAAGACAGCAGAGGGCACAGCAGCCCCCCCGACCCCACCCGCACGCAAACACGGACTGAAACCGAAACGTAACCCAAAGAGATCCAGGCGGTTCCAAGGTCCACGATGTGCATAAAGCCAGAACACAGGGAAAGCCCCTAGCCCAGAGTGGCCAGCGCAGTGGGGGAGGCCAGACGCTGCTAAGGCAGAGCTAGCCAGCATGTTTGGGAGCGAAAGCAATCAGTCCAGAACTCCCCTTGCCAGGGTTCCGCGCTCCAGGGCACCCTAGACTTCACCCAGCGCCTGGATCTCCATCCACCCCTAGGTCCCAGCCAGGACAGTCCCAATAAAGGGCGCGCAACGGACACACGCCCAGAGGCACAAGACCAGTCTCTTTGTCCGGACCCCTAGGCTGCGCCCGCGTGGACAGCGCCCCAGAGCGAACCTGGACCCGCGACTACCGGCAGCTCCGAGGCTCCCCTCGGCGACTCCCCGCTACAGTACCATAGTGCTCCCCCGGCGGGGGCGTAAGAGGGCGCGGGGCGCTTACCTCTCCGCCGCGAAATGACCGGGTGGCTTCCTCCCGGTGTAGCCTCGGGCCGGGGCCCGGGTCAGCAAGAGCGCGACGCAGGCGGCCCGGAGGAACAGTCCGGCCCACATGACCAGCGGCGGCGGGTCCCCGGGGCTGGGCTAGGCTCCGGCGCCACACGCGAAGGAGGGGGCTGCCGGCCCTCGCCCCTCCTCCTGGCGTGCGGGGAGCGAACCAGCGATCCCCCAGCTGGCACGCAGAGTTGAGCAGGGGGGCTGGAAACGCCGAAAGGAGGGGCCGGGGAGCGCGAGGGGACGCGGCCGCGGGCTAGGGGTGGTCTCCAGCACCTTGGAGCCTAACACACAAAAGCAGCGCCGCCAGCCCGCCTGCCAGTGCCTGTCCTGAGGCACAGAGCCGGGGCAGGGGCAAAGATCAGGGACCCTGGGGGGCGGGGTTTCGCCCTCGGCCCACATCCCCTGCCCGGGTTTAAGAGTCGGCTTCCTGCAAAGGGCTGAGGGCGTCAGACTGAGGCCCTGGAACGAAGGAGACTTCAAGAATATGGCTAGCGCCAGGGACTGCGCTCCCAGGTCATTGCCTGTCTTGGAACTGAGGTGCCCATGCTGTCAGGTGAGAGTCGTGGAAATCTGAATCCAGGACTCTGGGTGGTTGAGCCCCTGGGCAGTTCTAGGCCTATGCCCCAGCCTGCCATCAGGTCTGCACCCTAACCCAAATGCGCAGTTTGGGCGGAGTAGGAGGGTTCAGTCTCTCCCCAGCAGGGGGGCACTAGCTGGTCCATAGCCCACAGGCTCCTCTGGGCAGCCAGGAGGCAGAGTGGCCACAGGTTGGGGAGTGAGGAAATTGGTGAGGCTCTTGACAGTGGAGGGCAGAAGCAGAACTGGAAGGCAGCCCCTTCTGCAGCCGCCCCAGGCCACCGTGGGAAATTGGTAGGGTAGTGGTGAGTCAATGGTGAACGGAAACCAGGCTCATCAAGCTAGGAAAAAGCTGGAAAGATGACCAGATTTTACCTTGAGCTCGTAAAGGAATCTTCCCCTAGTCCCCTAGACCTAATTAAAGATTTTGATTAAACACTTCCAGGGATAAGAAACTCACTACCTGTCAAAATTCAGCCCATTTTATTTCCAGCCCAATCATTTTGAATAACTACATTTATTTGAACATGTCCTTCCTTATCAACTAAACCAGGTGTCCTCAAACTGCAGCCCGCAGGCCACATGCAGCCCGCCTAGGACATTTATCCAGCCCGCTGGGTGTGTTTGCCACCGCTGCCTGTTCTGCTTAGCAGCCAACTTGTCCCAAGGCCCATAGTCACAGCCCTCCAACGGTCTGAGGGACAGTGAACTGGCCCCGTTTAAAAAGTTTGAGGACCCCTGAAAAATCCCAATTCCTTTGGTCTTGCCTCTGCCATTGCCCTCCTGCTACCTCAGATGTCCTTAACATAGGTGGCCACAAGTGGACATGATATATAAGGCTCTTCCTAAATGCAGCACTTTTACTAATACAGCCTGATAGAGCTGTAATACCATGATTTCATGACACAGGCTGAATTAAAGGAAAACCTCAGGTGTTTTCTGTTGTTTCTTGTTGTTATTGTTACTGCAGTTTTTGGCCAGGCCGGGCCTGAACACGCCACCTCCAGTATATGGTGCCCGGTGCCCTAGTCCTTAAGCCACAGGTGCTACCCTCTGTTATTTTTGTTGTTGTTAAACACAAGCTTACCTGAACCTGTGTGGCTGAGTTTTAGCAATCACATTCAGGCCTGTCTCACTTTTAGTTTTAACCCATCTTCTAGTCAACAGATCCTCAGCAAGCAGGTTGTTAATATAAGGCTGCATTGTAAAATGGATCCAACTTCTGTTCTTATGTCCATTCTGAGTTCTAAAGACCCCAGAATCCTAAAGCATCTTTCCTTCCTGCCTCAAACATCCAAAGGTTGCACTTTCACCCTCTACCACTACTAGACTACCATTCAATGTCAAGTAAAAGCTCCTTCTTCCCAGCCCTAGGAGCTAGCTACCCAAAAATTCTCAATACATTTATTCAGAACAGAAGTGAACTTTTACATGTCTGTCATCTTTCATGCTATCTTCTTTCTCCCATACCCTAGCTCCACTGAGCCACCTTTACTCTTTGACTACTATTTTATGGAACCCCAACCTGCCCACCTCACCCTGTAAAACTCATTCTCTGGCAAGGTTTGCTCCAGATTGGTAAATGAGCCACTGGAATAGAAGATGCAGCTTTGTGTTTTGACTACATAGTAAATTCCTGTCGGCAAATCTCCAAACAAATGTCCTGGCATTTTTTTCACTTCCCCATAAAGTTTGTGACCTTACAGTATTCACCTTGCTCCTTCTATTAAGAATTAGCTTCTTTGGCTTTTGTGCTTTTTCTAATCTTTTTCTTTGACCCCAAAGCTTCTCAGTTTGGATTCTGAGCATCTAAGTTAATATTGTTTATCTTCAAGGACTAGTTTGGGCATATCCCTTAATTGGAGTTTCTCAGTGTTTCTTTCCCAATTCTGTGGCTTGTGGCTTCTCAGTAACAAAAGGGACCCTCCACTAAGGGTGGAGGATCCAAGTTGTTGTTGGCTGCAGAATGACAGCCTCTGGCTTGTGACCCTTCCAAATGGTCATGTGATGAGTCAGTGTTTCTATTATTCTCCCAAAGGTCCCTTCGTGCAGAGGCCTGGAGTGATGCTAGCTCATCAGTGCCTACACGGAACAGAGCTGTTCCAGCTGGCTAGAGCCACACTCTAAAACAACCTTTCGCCCCTAGAGAGATGCTTAATGGTTTTTAAGAAGGGGATATGGAAGTATGGAGGCAGGATGTCAGTTTCCAAAGGGTTGCTGGAATTCAATCCTGAGTGAATATACCCAAGATTGTAGGAAACAAAAAAAGGAAAACATTTCAAGGACTCTACAAGCTTCCAAATTCAAGACTGAAGCCAATGATAATGACCTTCCACTCAAAGTAGCAGGTCTCAGTGACTGCAGATCAGACCACATAAGTGCACCAGAGTAATAATCCTATTTTGTCTTTCTGATCATGGCACCTTATAGTCAATGCTCCCAGCTAGGATTAAAATTTTAAAGTAATCACAATCTGGAGACTGTTGAGTGCTTGCTTCATTAAAGCTGGTCTCTGGCATGAGGGTAGAGGGCCTTTTTCAAATTCAAACCATGACTTTAAGAATTCAAATCACAGTGTTGAGTTTCAAGTTCAAACTGTGGTTTTTCAGCTGCTGATTATTTTTTCTCTTAAGATCCTTATCCTGAGATCCCAGGAAAGTAAGGGAAAAGAAGGGTAATAAAAAACAAAAGAATTTCTCTAGGGAAGGAAACTTACTCCAGAAGACCCCCAAAGCAAAGATGTTTCCTTGCTCTTTTCCTTTTAAGCTAGAATCTCTCAAAACCACTCTTTGAACTTGAAACCACAATATTCCTGACACTGTATCAAAGGCTGGTCTTAAAAGAGCCAGCCAATATGCCTAGGATCAACCCTACTCCACAGTTGGGACAGAGCAGCCTTTATTCCCACTAGATTACTGGTAGAAATATGGGCCCAAACACTCTGACCCACTGAGTTGAAAGAAAACAGGCTTTGTTTGCCAGACAGAAGAGTAAACCCCAAATGTGCCCTACTCCTGTATTCTCAAACCCAAAGCACCAAAGCTTTACTTGATTAGACCAGAGGGAATAAAATGAGAATCCAAAGGGCATGTGGCAATAAGAAGCCAGGAGGTGCATGAGGAGATACTCAGTGGCCTACCGGCTTACTGGACATTGGACACAGCTGGCTATACAGTGAGGTTAGGAAAGGCAGCCCAAGCAACACCCAACCACAGCAGGTTACCAGCAGACGTAACTGAGAATCAGAAGTTGTTCTTGAGTCAGGGTAACCAAAACACTAAATTTCCAAAACCTGATACCCATCATCCTGTGATCCCACCAAAACAATCACATGACAAAGGAGAGGTAAAGATGACATTTCATTACGTTCAGAGACTTGTTCTAATAGCAAGGACAAGTGGGGGACACTGCATGAGTCTGTAGTAAATTGAGAACAGCATTCCTAAGATGCTGGATAGCTGGGCAGGGGGAAGAAAAGCAGAAACAAATGTATTCTTCTTCTTAGATTCTACTTTATTTGGTAAAACTCAGAAACTAACAACCAATTCACATCCCCCCACCTCCTTCACTCTGAAGAAGGCAGTCTGCAGAGACAAAAGAGCTGTGGCTTGGGGATCACCCACCTTCTCCAGGTTTTGAACTTAGGCAGCCCATGGCCTATAATCCAATGCTCTCAGAGGCCAAAGTAGAAAAGTAAAAGGAAGGTTTCATTCAAGATATTGAAGCCCTCCCAACTCTCTTCTTCCCTACTATGGGCAACCTCCCTACACTCCCAACCTAAATAAAAAGATAGTACAGGACAATGCATGAGTGTGAGATAACACACACACACACATACGCACACGCACACGCACACGCACACACAGCTTCATTTCAGCCCAAGAGCCACGAGATTCCTCCCTGGAAGGAGGACAAATGGCAACACCAATCAAAGCTTGGTGGGCCAAGGTGATAGCTGGAATCATTTGAGACTGGTAAAAATCCAGGGAGAAAATGGTTCACCTCTAGCCCATTCCCAGGTCTCTAGTGAACTAGTTTTAGTTCTAAGACAGCCCCATTTCCACACAGGTGAACTGTGGCTTTGGGGCAGCTGGCTTAGGGAAAGGTCCCTCATGGCCAAGAATACAATGGTAGGAGAGGAGAGGGTGGGCAGCAGGGCAAAGCCTTTGGGGAGGGTCAGAAAAGGGGACCCTTGCCCTTGGCTAATGGATCCGAGTTAGTTCCTCCACAACCTTGATGAGGTCGTCTGCAGTGGCCTCTCGCTTCATACCGCTGCCATCGTCATACTGCAACAAGAAAAGGGGTGGGGCTGTGAGGGTCAGGAGGGTGCTCTCCTGCTCACAGTGATGGAAGGACATGGTTTCCCCACTGCCACAGCAGAGAGAAAGCCCACACCTCCCCTTTGGCAGTGGAGGTCTCTCCTGAGGCAAAGCTGGCTTTTAGGCCACCACCTTGCCTACACCCCTCCCTCTTTAAGGATGTTTCCAGAAGCACCATCTCTAGTAAGCAATATCCTAAACTCCAGAATTGAGGAAATCCCTCTTCCCTGCAAGATCCCAACCCTGCCTTCCACCTTTGGATCTTGCCAGAGAATCCAAATGTCACCATGTTAAAGAAAGACAGAGGTTAACGTGTAGAGTTACAGTGTCTGGTAAACCCACAAGCCTCAACCACATACATCTCCTTTCCCTCAGACTCCACCTTCCCATCTAGTAAGAACCTTAAAGGGCCAATGGCACCTCAGCAGGTGCCCAGAAT